ACATGCACCTTCACAGAGAAAGCATCTGCCAGCGCCTGAAGGGAAGCACATACTTTTTTTTGGGGGGGGGAACTTGGATTCAAAGAAAAGTCAAGTTCTGGAAGTCTAAATTTACCTCATTATTAAGTTCTGAAGCTCAGTTGAAAAATGTAGCCTCACTTTCAACTGTGCGTTGACTTCATCACCACCGACTTAAGAGGAAAGAAAAAGTTAAAGTGAGGACAGAGATGGAGACACAGAAAGAGGAAGGTGGACAAGAAAATGCATTTACTGAAGAGAAGGTGTGTGAGATCTGGCGAGATCTGAAGAGCGAATATTGACACTACAAAAGCTGTATTTACTGGAGGAAAAGGCAGGTGGTGTTGCTCACAGCTTAATAATATCATGAACACAAGAGAATATCTCAAACTTATATATCCTCTGGCACTGCAGCGATACAAACTTTTAGGTTTCCCACACATTCATTAAATAATGTTGCACTGCCACAATATCAACACATGCCGCCGCATTTAGATTTTTTTTTTTTGGAGCTGCGTTACTCTCCCTCTCTCCCTGTCTTTCTGCTTTGTGACAGAGCATACTCTGGGCACAGACGGACTGTTGTCTATTGTTTTACAACCTTCCAACTGGCTGTGTTTCCATAGAAGCTACGCACCCCACGGTCCAGTGTGGAGTCTGACCAGCAGAAGAAAGTTTGCTTTTACTCACTTCTGCAGCTGCTCCTCTTAGCCATCGATCTGATAACATCAGCTCTGATTGTTTTGACCACAGACTGATCAAAAGGAAGAGTTGAATGTGATGATCAAACACTATGTTCCTCAATTCTACATCCTGTGACTCACAACAAATAAATAGCTGTTGAGAAAAGCAAAACTTGCCTGTGTTGTGTTCAAAGCCCTGCAAAAAATAGGAATTCAGAGAGGAGGCACAGAATGACAACAAAGTGACACACACCAAGAAGAAAATAAAGTTTGCCTATCCAGCCCAGGCCCCCAGAAAGTTCGCCTGGCTTTGAAGCCAATTTCCGTAGTGGCCAAATAGTGTAATTACACTGTCATGTGATGTGTTGTGGCCCAAAATGATTTTTGCTGGTAGACTTACATGGTGAAAGGCACATCTGTAAATCAGTGAATACATTTTTTGAGTGTCACTCCACTGGGAAAGGACTCGTTTCACTGCAAGGATTTGATTAATTTGGTCCAATAACGTGGAAAATCTAGAGGAGCTGCAAGATTAAATCATCTTATCCCCCTTCAAGTAAGTGGAGCGCTAAACTGGAAGTGGCCGGCTCTGCTAGGGCAAGTCTCTCGTTCACCTGCTCTATGGGCCACACAAAGCAGAAGCAGTGCCGATCATCTGGGTAATTTTATCTGAGCAGTTGAACGTCTTTTGCTTCATGCACCACTGAGCAACTTTCATAGCAGCGAAGGGGGCCCTGCCTCCAATGCTGTATCCTGTTTTCTTTATACATCCATTATCCAGCCCTTCTTTCCTTATACGCCAGCTACCACCACACAAAGAGTGTTTTTCTTTGGGAAACACTGGACTTACAGTGCTCAGTTAAAGTGCACATCGTACCAAGTGAGCTAAGGTGTGAGATAGAAATGAAAACTCTAGTGGGAATTTCGTTTAATCAACCAACTTCAATTATCAGAGCAGTGTTGAGAGAAGCTCTGCTCTTAGCAGGGACCTTGAAAGGTCTCCCAGAAAAACACAGCAAAAGTTCACATTTTCTTGAGGAGGAATCAATCCCTAAAAAGTCGCAGCAAGAGAAGTTGAGCGTGATAATTAATTTATGCACAGTTATTCTAGGAAGAGGGAAAGAATAATAGCAGGTGTTAAACAGTGCACTCTGTATTTGCTCACCAAAGACCTTCTGCCTTTATTGTCTTTCTTTGTTGTTTTTTCATACTGAGGTGCAGGTATGCTTTTGTACAGTACGTGTGTGTTTGTGTGTGCTGTACTCATTCACTCTCATCCGACTGTCAATTTCTATAGTCGTATTGGGAGCTTGTATCATTAGCTGCAATCCCTGCAGATTGCTTGTGTGAGTGTGTGAGCACGCCAAGTGGTAAGCTATTGATTGTATGTCCTTGTTTTATGATATTATCTCTCCCTGCGGGCTGCCTTTTATTCAGCCCAGTGATAGTGAGTCTGTTTTTCCTAATGACTGTCTTTATGGTCCATTTTATTAGAGTATTTGATGATGTGTGAGGCATATGTATTGAAATGATTAAAAACACAGCTGTGTTTTCAGTCCACGTGCTACAGGGGTGTGTTTATGTGAGTGTGTGTGTGCTAGTGACCATAATAGTATAAATTGCATGGCTGTGGCTCAGTGTGGGCTGCGCTGTATGTTCTTTGTGTGTGGCTGATTGCTCTGCGAACAACACTCTGTTTGGGGGGAAACTCTTTAAATTATTCACCAGCTCTAATTGGCTCGCTGAATGGGGACTGTACTGGGTTTCTTCCCGCTGTTATGTTCTATGAAGGATCCTCAGGCAGCGTAGAAATGAACCTTATGTCTGATGATTTTATATGTAACAACAATAATCAGAGACTCCTGTTCTGTTGTGTTTCCAACCATCAATTTGAATGTGCTTTAATCTGAACAAAGAACTAATTTTAACCTTAAAACCACAATGGTTCTCCTTTGCAGAGTTGGTGAAAATTCTATGCATTAACACTGTAGCTCTCTATATCCAATAAATTTGGAAGAAAGTTTTTGATGGACATGAGTCATCTGTGTTTATTTAGATTGAGGCATTTAAGTGTTATTGAAGATTTCAGATTAAGTTATCATAATTATGACTTGGCTGTGATGAGAATGCGACTTACATATCGGAAACTGGTAATTATAGTAGCCCCTTTTACACTGCCTGTTCAAGGCAGGAATGTTGCGCTGTTATTTGGTCTTGTAGTTCTGTATAAAAATGTATGATTTGGAATGTGGGGACTGAGTTGGCTGGCCTTGAAGCCGGCAGCAATAGTTATGACTACACTGAATCGACATCTGTGTAAAATGGACAGCCGGCAGGGTGTAAAGTTTTGATGACATGTTACGTGTGTGACTTACCACTGGGGTATTTTAAAAGCAGCTAGCAGCAGCTGACAATGTCTGCAAACTGGGGAGACGACAAGGTCCAGGAGCTCCTTATCTCCGAGCAGAGGACAAGATCAATAGTGGTATAACAGGGACTGTAAATTACCTTTATAGCCTTGTTATGCCATTGTTATTTAGAAAGTGCTGCCTGATGCGCAAATTTTATGTCACACTAGAGGCCGATGTGCCTCTTTTTGCTTCAGGTACTCCGGCGTGCTATCTAAAAATCACACTCTGTGGTGGTTTTACGCCTGAGTTGTTTGGTTCTGTTTAAAAAAGCAAAGGTAATGAAGGGTCTCTGTTGCAGCCCTGTTGGGGATCTCTCTGTAAAAGGGCTAGAAATTCCAATATATAAAAAACGCAGTAGTTTCGCACATCCCAAAACCGTTTAAGACAGGTGCTTGACCAGTAAAAGAGCAATAAACATGAAGAAAGCCTCATACATTATGGCTCCCATAAGGGGCGTAACTATGTAAAGATAATCCATGAATTCAAGCATTAGGTTTTACACAAAGAAAAGGTGATTGGTAGCCGAACATGTTATTTCTCCAGTTTACCTTGCAAGACTTACATTGTGTTAATCTAGTCATCCAAATTTCTAAAACCTTCATTTTAAGGCAAATGTAGAAGAAAAGAAGTTTCAGTTAAATGTAAAATGTGACGCACCTACTGAGGTTGACACGAAGGTCTCTGCAGCCTTCAGCTTTACTTTTAAATTCAAACAAATAAAGAGAACTTTTCTTTTTCTCGCCATTAACAGGCAACTTCAGAAAATAAAAGGAAAGAATAACATTTTCATTTAGTGTAATGGCTTGAATGAATGGTGTGCAGGTCTTCATCCATGTATTTACTTGTCCTTGGGGGCACTGATAAGAGCTTAAGAGAAGTGGCAGAAAATTGCTGCCTGGTGCAGAAATGTGTTGAAAGCTTTGGAGAATTAGCTTTCAGAATTGTCTGCAGACCTGGGTCACATGGAAGAAGCTTTCGGAATATAATTTTTAGCGTTTCATCTGTTAAGATACTAATATAAGTAGATCCAATAACAATTTCACTAATTGTCACACCAGGGGTTTCGAATGTGTTTTTAATGGTGCTTATTGTAGTGTAATATTAGGCAAACACCACTGAATGTGACACACAGGGTTGGCAGTTTACAATCAGCTGGTCTGAGCTTTCTTTCCTGAACTTTTCCTGGGTACAGCTGCCCACTGTTTAACACAGGCAGGTCATTAAGTGCAGTATGGAGGCAGCCACATGGATTAACAATCCAAGCCACTAAGCTTAGAGCTGATTCTCAGTGGGATCAGCTGTACTGGCAACTTCCATGTAGCAGGGAGTTTTTGAATTAAAAGTAAATATGTACATTCATTGTTTCTCACCCTGAAGTACAGCTGTATACAAAATAAGGACAACAAAGAGGGGATGCCAGGTGAATGGAAGACTGACAGTTTCTGTGTATGTGAGAGCTGCTATCTACTTCCTTTAAATTGCTTTGAGGAGTGACTGGCTGCAGTGGGCTGGTGACAAAGGCATATGGTACTTTCTCAATGTCTGTCACAGCACATATCCATCACCACCCACTACACAACAGTCTGCTCATGACTCTATCACTGTCACACACTCACCTGCACACTGTGAGACAGAGCGGTGTAGACCAGATGCTTTTGGTGATTAAAAAAGTACTACAGTATATGTCAGTATTTATTAGTGTAACTGAACACGTAGATAACTACTGATGTGACAATAATGAGTACAAAGACACTATAGATTGACATAGAGGTGGACCGATGGGCAGCAGAGGAGAAACAAAGGACACTATGTATTGATGTAAAGCTATGTATTGATCTCACTGATTTCTCATTACGACGAGTGACTCTCTGTTGGTTTTTCCCTGCAGACTGGTGGGGACTTTCTCTATGGTGCTTCAGAAGGTGGCTGAGGAGGGACACCTTGAGCTGACGGACACACTCATAGACGATAACAACACATCAATAAAGGTAACGCTAAACACTGCTCTCACATTGGAGTGACAGCTACAGGGAGGTTAAAATGTTTTGAAGAGCCGGTTCATATCACTGCACAACCTCTGTTCAAGGAGTAGCGCTCAAAAGATGTTGTGCACAGAGAAATTTCCAACAAGCTGTGTTAAACTCACTGTACAGTGTCTGGAGAACGAACTATGTCGATTCGACGTAGAGGTCTAAAACCCGCATTACATGAAGCCTCTTCAACCACACAGATCCCATCAGATCAAACTAAAGCCCCTTTTACACTGCCAGATTTTCCGCGATTGTTGGGCCGTTTTGCCGGCAAGCTGCAAGCGTTTAGACACACAGAGGCGGATTGGCGAGTTGATCCGAGGTGCCCAATTTTCTGCCTCGTAGGGTAGTCATATTGGCGGAACCCTTTTAGTTTAAACAGACCGAGGCGGCCTTCCGCAACGGGAGGAGCTGTCGAAGATGCCACACATGCGACCCACTGGCGGTGGATAAACAGGAAACAGCTGATGGCAGGAATTAATGAGCAGCTAGTAGCAAGAGGGAAACACAAATCTGACAGACACTGTAAAGATGAGCAACTGGGGAGACAAGGAATTGCGCGTCCTCCTTGCCCTCGCAAACGAAGAGGCCATTAACCATCAGATGACAGGAACGGTGAGGAACGGGCCGACTTAAGAGAGATTGCCCCGAAAAAGGCGCATTCTGTATAAACAAAAGTAGGCAGGCGGCATTTTACCACACTCCCCGATTTTGTTTTTATACTGCCAATGCTGAAAAAAGACAATTCCTATCTAAAAAGGGCTTAATGCTATAGAGGCAAAAAACTATTTAAAATGTGAGTGGAGATCCCAAAGTTTTATACACAAGACATACAGAATAATTTGATATGAGGCAGCCATTAATGACATGGAGTTTGGGTTTAAATATTAATCTCACATACCTTCAACAAAGAGCTGATTCAGAATATATTTACTGTCAGTAAATTGGAAATTAAAGGGGAAAACTAGAATCTTAAAACAGTTTACAAAAGCTTAAATCATACAGTTTGTAGCTGCAAAATGATATGACTTGCCTTACGGCAATAGAATTAATATAAAATCTTATTTGTCAGCAAATGCATTCACAAGCAAAAAGGGAAACATTAAATGGAGAAATCAATCTTCCAATGCACCTGCAGCGGTGGCAATATGAAAAGTAACAGCCGTCATCTGGCCTATAAAGGCACCAGCGTTTAAGACCTGCACATGAACAAGGATCTGATATGATGGAGATACAACAGTCTCTTAGTAACATCAGAACATTAGGATCCTTTCCTTTAACATTAATCCTGATATCCTTTATTGATTGGACATTGTGAGAGCGGTACAATAGGATTTATGAGGGAGAACCTAACCACTTGAGGTTCTTAAAGCACCACAGGGTTCAGAGTTGTGTTAGTGGAGCAGGGAGTGCTGATGGGATGTTTCTGAGATGATGGGAGTGCTGTAGGGCTCACACACACACACACACACACACACACACGCATATATGCTGACATGTGCAAGTGGCTTCTTGTGTAAGAACATGTTCAAATACATTTGTACAATTAAGACAATTTCAGCACTGTGCATCTCTAGAAAGAAACTAAATCCGACATAACCTGAGAGAGAACAGTTTTACCCACAGCTGCACTGGTGTGGTTGCCATAGTGACAAATCTAACTCCTCGTGGACTACAGTGCCTTGCAAGGATGTAAAAAATCGAGAGCGACACGGCGGGAGAAAGGAGAACGAGAGCCCGAAATATATTTTCTTCTCATCCGTCTTTGTCAGTAGAATAAATTGGCCGCTCCGTAATAAAGATGAGGTCATTGTCGGGAGGATAATATTTGTCCAAACACGACTCCCCAGAAGACGCCAAAGACAAACTACGTTGTCACCAATGCCTCTGGCCTGGATTAAACTAACACTCACTGTCACTCTGAATTCCCCCAGCAAATACTAGGTAGAACAGAAGATTTATAGTCCTGTTAAAGTTTGTTGTCAATGCTGCGAGCTTTTTCTGAACATAGTTAAATGGATTGCGATAGATAAGCCAAGGCTAAACTTTAAGGTTATGACTCTTTCAGGACAGATTTAGATTGATTGATAAATATCCTGTCACAGCGCCACATTTGGCCAAGTTGGTGTTATATATGTGGGGAGTTTACCAAATAAACTCAAAAGCAAAAAAAAGGGCATATACAAACATACAGTGGGGGAAATATGAACTTTTTTTTTTCATTAAACATATTCCCATTGATATTACATTGATATTGATATTAACTCTAAAGAAGTCGTAACAATTCAATCCATAAAAAAGTTACGTACAATAAAGTGTTCTGAGACAGGAAAAGATATTGAACATACTAACTGAAATGTATCTGCTGTTTGGTGGAGAAGCCTTTCTTTGCAATGCCAGCTTTTAAGATGCTGAAGAAATCAATCTCTGACAGTGTTCAGATGGGATTTTGGTTCATTTCTCTTCACAGACAGCCTTTAAATCTAGAGGACTCTGGGGGACCCACTGGTGAATCCTCAGCATCTTCCACAAATGTTCTATCAGGTCTAAGTCTGGTGATTGACTGGGCCATTCCAAAACCTTTATTTTCTTTCTCTGGAACCAGTTAAGGGTCACATTGTGCTTGTTTTAAGTTTGCTGCACAACATTTGGAGAAGGCTATAGATTACTGGGAGAACATTGTGCGGTCAAACGAGAAAAATCTAACTTTTCTGTAAGTAGGGATGCACCGAATATTTGGCCGAATATTGCAAAAAAACACACATTCGGTATTCGGTAGAATAAGTGAAAAGCAAGGCCGAATAATAGCGCCGTGTTTTGATAATGCAATCAAACAGTGTGCGGTGACGGACGGAGTAAAATGTCGTCAGTGTGGCGATATTTTACTCCCTCCGTCACCACACTCGCATTTGCGACTAAAAATAGTTTTGTGCGGGCAAAATAAATCATTCAGCACGCTGTGTGAGTACAGATTTCAACCAGCAGCAGAAACGAAACGGCAAATCCCGCTGGTTGTGGGTTGAACGGGGGTCACAGACACGGACAGGAATACGTATTCCTGTCAAATACGGCGGCGCATGATAACGGCTTACCGGCAATAGAGAAGTCCGGCTCCAGGTGAATAACTTGTTGTCATGACTGCCCAAAAGTACCTGAACAGCCGAGCCATGGCTGCACATAGTATGTGGTGTATCAGAGGAGAAACGAGCCGTTCACATTACTCTCTTGGTCCACAAACCTCACCACACTTTAGGGACTTTTCTTTACTTATGGAGGGACTTGTCAGGGGAGCAGGGTGGCTGGTGGATTTTTATTTCATTTATTTATTTTATTTTGATCCCCCCTATGTTAATCACTTATTGATGCTGTTTTTTAAGCATGAATAGCCTAAGTCAATAAGTAATTTATTCCATTGAAATATCATTGATGTATTAAAAAAAACGGCATTCGGTATTCAGTACTCGATATTCGGCCAAGCATTTAATATTATTCGGCTTCAGCTTCGGCCACAAATTTTCATTTCGGTGCATCCCTATCTGTAAGTGGTACGACGTGTCATGTTTGGAGAAATGTCTTTGCATATGACCTTAAATGTACCACACCTTGGAAATGGAAGCATCATCGTTTGGGGTTGTTTCTCTTTTAATGGTACCAGAAGAATTCAAACTATCAAAGGTATGATGAATGGAGCCATGCATTAGGAATTTTGAGAAGAATCAGTTACCATCCACCAGGATGTTGAGGATGAGATGCATAACTTTTTATGGATTGAAATGTTACAGTTTCTGCCAGTGTCTTGTGTAAATTTCATGTAAATAGCTCCATTGGAAATATGTTAAATGTAGAAATGTTGATGTGTTGAATATTTATATCCCCACTGTAATGTATACACTTTATGCCTAAACCCACTAAGTTTTCTGATGTGCCAAAGTTTATTTGTAGAGCAGCAAAATACTGGTAAAACAGCAATAACTTAATGAGACTTAGACCCTGTTTATACCCCATTTTAAGATGCGTTTAGAGTCTACAGCCGTAATATCAGCTCTGTGAAGCTGTTCTTAGACACCAACACAATCGCCAGAAAAAAATGTTGGTATTATACAGTACAGGCCAAAAGTTTGGACACACCTTCTCATTCAATGCGTTTTCTTTATTTTCATGACTATTTACATTGTAGATTCTCACTGAAGGCATCAAAACTATGAATGAACACATGTGGAGTTATGTACTTAACAAAAAAAGGTGAAATAACTGAAAACATGTTTTATATTCTAGTTTCTTCAAAATAGCCACCCTTTGCTCTGATTACTGCTTTGCACACTCTTGGCATTCTCTCCATGAGCTTCAAGAGGTAGTCACCTGAAATGGTTTCCACTTCACAGGTGTGCCTTATCAGGGTTAATTAGTGGAATTTCTTGCTTTATCAATGGGGTTGGGACCATCAGTTGTGTTGTGCAGAAGTCAGGTTAATACACAGCCGACAGCCCTATTGGACAACTGTTAAAATTCATATTATGGCAAGAACCAATCAGCTAACTAAAGAAAAACGAGTGGCCATCATTACTTTAAGAAATGAAGGTCAGTCAGTCCGGAAAATTGCAAAAACTTTAAATGTGTCCCCAAGTGGAGTCGCAAAAACCATCAAGCGCTACAACGAAACTGGCACACATGAGGACCGACCCAGGAAAGGAAGACCAAGAGTCACCTCTGCTTCTGAGGATAAGTTCATCCGAGTCACCAGCCTCAGAAATCGCAAGTTAACAGCAGCTCAGATCAGAGACCAGATGAATGCCACACAGAGTTCTAGCAGCAGACCCATCTCTAGAACAACTGTTAAGAGGAGACTGCGCCAATCAGGCCTTCATGGTCAAATAGCTGCTAGGAAACCACTGCTAAGGAGAGGCAACAAGCAGAAGAGATTTGTTTGGGCCAAGAAACACAAGGAATGGACATTAGACCAGTGGAAATCTGTGCTTTGGTCTGATGAGTCCAAATTTGAGATCTTTGGTTCCAACCGCCGTGTCTTTGTGAGACGCAGAAAAGGTGAACGGATGGATTCCACATGCCTGGTTCCCACTGTGAAGCATGGAGGAGGAGGTGTGATGGTGTGGGGGTGTTTTGCTGGTGACACTGTTGGGGATTTATTCAAAATTGAAGGCACACTGAACCAGCATGGCTACCACAGCATCCTGCAGCGACATGCCATCCCATCCGGTTTGCGTTTAGTTGGACGATCATTTATTTTTCAACAGGACAATGACCCCAAACACACCTCCAGGCTGTGTAAGGGCTATTTGACCAAGAAGGAGAGTGATGGAGTGCTGCGGCAGATGACCTGGCCTCCACAGTCACCGGACCTGAACCCAATCGAGATGGTTTGGGGTGAGCTGGACCGCAGAGTGAAGGCAAAGGGGCCAACAAGTGCTAAACACCTCTGGGAACTCCTTCAAGACTGTTGGAAAACCATTTCAGGTGACTACCTCTTGAAGCTCATGGAGAGAATGCCAAGAGTGTGCAAAGCAGTAATCAGAGCAAAGGGTGGCTATTTTGAAGAAACTAGAATATAAAACATGTTTTCAGTTATTTCACCTTTTTTTGTTAAGTACATAACTCCACATGTGTTCATTCATAGTTTTGATGCCTTCAGTGAGAATCTACAATGTAAATAGTCATGAAAATAAAGAAAACGCATTGAATGAGAAGGTGTGTCCAAACTTTTGGCCTGTACTGTACGTTTTTGCAAACCACAGATACGTTACATTTGTACATTATATTGTAGCAGATATATTGAAACTTTGTGTTTCTCAACAACGCTGTGGCGAACATGTGATTAAATTGCAGCACAAAGTCACTTGTTTATGGTTAGGAAAAGCTCATGTTTTGGCTTAAAACACCCACTTTTGTTGGCACAAAAGCTGCTGGAAAAGCAGGGATGAGTTGGTGAAAAACATCCAAGTTCACTGTTTCAAATGCTGCTGGGAAACATCCAGGTTTGGTGCCACAAACACTAGTGGAACACTGCCAAGGGTCACCAAAAAACACCTGGTGCCGTTGGTATCAAACAGTGGTCTGCAGCGTGGCAGGCATCTCGCCTAGTTGACACACCGTCCACCATCTCCTCCACCTCCCAATTACAAAAGTCAGTTTATATATAAGGTCACTTTAAAAACATTGATATAATACATATGAGGCATGCAAATGTAACGTATTTGTGGTTTGCAGAAACATATAATGCAAACATTTTCTTTTGATGACTGGATCATAGGCACAGGAATAAGTCTTTGAGTTAAATGCTAGCATCAGCAAGCGCACAGTGACAGTGCTAACCTGCTGAAGTTTAGCAGCTATACATCTGAGGCTGATCGGAAGGTCATTAGTAGAACAGTTAATTGGTCATAAACCCAAGTATTGGACAAATTTCAATTTTGATGTAGTGATGGTGCCAGATGAAAAGTTTTGGCATCACCATAGTTTACAGTTCATCCTGAGGGGGACTATGAATGTGTGTACGAAATGTCATGACAATCCATCCAACAGTTGGATGGACAGTTTTTTTACTCAAAACCCTAATGACAACCGAATGGTGGATTCAGAGGGGGGGAAAGGGATCGCTGAATTCAGTAGGATTCATCCTCTGGGGAATGTCTGAACTTTCATGGTGAGTCATCCAGTAGTTGTTGAAATATTTCAGTCTGGATCAAAGGACCAGCTGACATCCCATGGGGTTCATCCCACAGCCACGCTGCTGGCATGGCTAAAAATCAAAGATCAGATGATAACACATGAAACATAACAAGACTTGAAGGATAGAAACTATAGATAGAAACAAAATGATTGATTGGCCGAGTAGAAAGATTTAATAAAACAGAATTTTGAGCAATAATTACAGACACTATTTTGATATGATTTTGCAAGCCTGCTGCTCAGGCTTATAAAAGTTAGTTGATAATTATCTTGACAGCTGAGAGTAAGTTATGACAGTCATGACAACACGACAAACAAATAACATCAGTGTCAGGGATATTTATTGCGCTTTCAGTTTTGGCATTGTAGGAGTTTTGTAGATTAGACATGTCCTTGGCGGCAGAGATAATTAACACAGGAGGAGCAGCTGAGAAGTAAAATAATGAAGTCTGCTTAACAGGTGGATTTGAATAAATTAGCACCTTTTATTAGTATTCAGGTTTTCCATGCAGTATGAAAACGTATGCAATTATGAAATGGAAAATGTGAAGAAACCCTGTGAATTAATTTTCTTTGCCACATTAAGATAAATATGATCTTCCAATGCTTTGAAGTAGAAAAACTGCACTGTGACCTCTGTAGAAGTGAAGCCTTATTAACTCTCTGCTGATTAAGTTAAAAAGTTTCATTCTGTTTTCAGACCAGCGTTACCATAGAGATCAGATACCAGTCGATGGACGGCACAGTGGGAGTCTGGAGCGACGGGGAGTTCCTGGATGTTCCTGATGACCGTGATGGGATGTTTGCCTTTGAAACGGACAGCTTGCTGTCAGGACAAAGCCACGGGTCAGGGACGTCTCCTGGGCGATCCTTGCAGGGATCCATACCAACCTTCAGGAAGTGAGTCAAATATGCAAACTATCTCCATGATAACTCGACTATGAGTCAGGCTGGGAACTGCTTTTAATTTGCCTCTGAACATTAAGTTGATGACTCTCCACAACTGCAAACAAGAAATGTTGTTATGTAGTTTAGTTTTTAAGAGATCATTAACAGTAACAGTGCTGCTGAGGCACACATGGGCGAGAGACAATAACGTGAATGCACTGAAGTTGACAGATGGATCCAGCATTCACACATTGATGAGGCTTCCTGCTTTCCAGCTGATGTAACAGCTGTTACTGTTAAGATGGGTAACATGGCGGGGTCCTGGGCTAAATGACAATGTGCACACCTACATAAGAATGTATGACCAGACACTGATGCCCATATACTGCAGTAAAGGGGAGAGTTTTGCAAAATTACATATTATCCATCTATAGGAATCTATAAATCAGAATGACACATATTCTGCAAACACCTTAGTAATGATGCAGATGTTAATGTTTGTGTAGACTGAATTAAATAAGTCGTGCAGTTGGAAGGCGGCTTTGAGTAAATGAAGATAATTAAAACAGACGTGTTTCATTTAAAAGTAGTTTTAGATATTTACCAGCCTCGACACTGTCGCGACAGCTTGTCTTGTTTTCACTTCGTGTGTGTGTGTATGTGTGTGCTTGTGTCATCATGGCAAAATGTGGTCCTAGTGAGTGAAGCCTATTGTAGCAAGTATACCACAAAAGCTGTTTTTTCAGTATTTTGCCAGGTGTTTATATGTGGACAGAGTTTATCAAAGTGATAGTGTTGCAACCATGCAAGATGTAGGCATGAAACTTTACAGATATGTAGTTGAGATCAAATTAAATGCCAAGGTCAGAATCTGGTGTGGTCATTCATTTCAAGTTGCGACAGGGTCAATTATTCAGCAGTAATATGCGTAACAAAGTCAAGTGTACATTTGTAATATTAAGTATTATAATTACACAAAATTTGTTTCAGTTGTTATTACCTGACATGCTTAGGCCTCCACAGTCAATTTGTGGAACGTTTGATACTCAGTTTCTGTACCCCTACGTTCACCTTTGGGGGTACCCCACCTATAAAGGGTGTCTCCTGCCTTACCTCTCCACTTTTGCTGTTGTATTCCGTGGGAGGGGTAAGCGGCATTGCTCGCGTAGTAATTTCCGTGTTTTTGCGCTGTTAGCTATGTTCATTAGTTTATTTTATGCTAACATATTCTTGTGTCACTTAATTTGTGTTGGAGCTTGAGTTATATGGTCATAATTGACAGAGGATTTTGTTCTTACCTCTTGCTGTCGGAGTTGTTAGGAATAAACAAAGATCGCCTCCAAAGATATCCACAGTGTGGGCCTGTTCATATCAACACAACACAGGCAACACTAGAGTCCACCGGTTACATCTGTATCACTATACAGGGCTCGAAATTGCGACCGTTTTGGTCGCATATGTGACCAAAATTTCATCTGTGCGACCTCAAAATATAATTGTGAGCACTGGTGCAAGTGTAAATAATTCTTCTGGTGCGACTATTCCCTACTTCCCGACTATTAATATTTACACAATGACATTTTTGATAAATAATCATCGGCGAGATACGCGATCTAAAAACTAAGACGATATGTAGTGTCATATCATGGCATTGATTTAATATCAATATATTGCCCAGCCTTAGTGAAGTCTTTTCTGGCCCCACAGGGAGCTGTGTGAAGTCTGAACCGAAAAAAATAAATCTATGTTATTAGCGTGACACATCCAAATCTCTTACCAAACTGTCAGCGGTTGAGATGCACTGTGGGTAATGTAGGTGACAAAGAAGAATGTGTGGAATAAAAAAGATGATGTCTCTAGTTCTGCTGCATTGATTTTAATACTTTTTAAACTGTGTGAGTGTGACAGTGTTACAGGAGTGCAATGTGAAATCACTTAAGTACTCTTAAGTTTGCAGAAATAATGTCCTTCAAAGAGGCTGTGTTGTAGGAAGAGACTTTTCTTGACAGTTTTCCCAACAGCATTCATGAAATCTGTTTGTTTATTAGATGTCACCGACACTATGGCGATGTGAATCTTGCTTGTCACTTACAACTTTGTCAACATTCTATTGAAACAGAAAAAGGAGAAACACTGTGGCCGAAGTTTCATGTTCTGTTTTACAGTTTAGATTTTATTACATTACTTCATAATAATAAACAAGTAACCCCAGGCTGTTGAAGTCTGTATAGATTTATCATGAAAAACTGTAAGACCTTTTGCCCCTGTGGCTGCTCTTTGCCTCTTTGCACAGTTCCTTGCTCTTCCTCTGTGGTTTGCTTGCCGTGTTTTGCTGTACCTTAGCTATGTGAAACACTGTGGGTGGTATCGATTTCCACTGAGACTACCTGCACAACCAGACCCCTAAATCCATCATTATGCTGCATGTTGAATGGGCGTGTGAAAAATATGTCTATGTGCGAGGCTGAATACTGTCGGTTGCATGTTTTTGTTTTTGTTTTGTTGACATGAAAAGCCAAAGTTTCGCTCTCTTGCAGCTTAAAATTAAAATCTATTCAGGGTTTGCCGACGTGAGAATCGATGCAGCCCGAGGAAAACAAGAAAATTTGACTAATCTAAGTTTTAGAGCATCCCACGGGTGTTATGTAACAGATAACAGTATTGGGATTTGGTCGACTAAGAGAAAAAAGCACTGCTGTGGAGAGATGCTGTAAAAGGGTTCAATAAAAGTGGGATGAAAGCAGTCACCAAACTTGTGAAAATAAAGTGTTTATTCATATCACATTTTTATTACATTTCTACCCCTTTATTCAGGTGAACAAGCTCTTCGTCCTTGCTGCATGACGAGGGCACCTGTCATCTAGTTGCCGTGGTTGCACAGAGCTGTCAGTCAGACTTTGCAAAGGCTGCCTTAGGGCTTTCGAATGAGGAAAAAAATAAGTCGAGAGCTGCTGAGAAAATACCAACTAACTTCCAGCCTAGCCAACAAATCTAACTCTAATCCGCCTCGTACTGGTTTCGGCCAGACTGATGGGCTGGTGGAAAGATTTTAATAGCCTTGCCACTTCTCATACAAACCCTTTTTATTCCCTGAATTACCAGCTGCTCAGTTTATTTCTGGTCCAGAGGTTTTCAGAATTAAACTTTTTAAGATGCGTCATTGTGTTGTGAGTTCTGACACTGCAACCAGTGCCAGTTGTTCTAGTGCCAGTTGTTCTTACTCTGGCAATGAAGTGTTAACGTGCAGGAGATGATAACCGGTGATGACTCTCTCGTTCCTCTAGGGAAGAGGAGGAGGAGGAAGAAAAAGAGGGGAATGTCATAAACAGTTTAGCCTCAAGGTATTTTCTTACATCCTCCCTTTCTGTCTGACTTTACCACCTTTGGGTTTGTGGTTTTGTGTGTCTGTTTTCCCTCCTCTTTCATGCAGATGCAGTAATTCTCAGCAATGTCACCTCACCAGTGATCATTTTACTTTAAGTCAGACACATCTGACATCTGTCTTGGAGAGGTATATGTCCCTCCTAGCTATTATTCTAGTCTCATAACTTATAAAAGGTGTTGTCATTAGGTCCCAGAAGTCTTTCTGAGACTTTTAACTTTAAACTTTGACAGAGCAGGACTTATATTTCTAAAGCACTTGAGAGGGATGCAAGCACAAACTCCTCAATTATGAATTATTCCCGAAACTGTTTGCTCATACACAGAGCGGAAGAACAAACAGAAGAACTGTATCTACATGGTCCTCTGCACTCCACCCACTGCTGTCTATTTCTGTTCTATCACCTGCCACCTAAAGGTCATGTTTGCTGCTTCCAGTGGAGTTTGTGCTCATTGCATTGTTTCCAGTGGGAATTAAATTTCATCATAACTGTACAGCATGACTGCAGTAGAGTGTAGGTGGCTTATTAAGGCATATTGGTTCCTCCCCATCTCCTAATTGAGTGAAATTGCAGCTGAGGTTGACCATCCCACTGCTGCCACCTCTCCTCTCAGCACCCTGTGCCTCGTCTCTGGTCCTGCAGGATGATTTATGGCGGAGCCCATGAAGCATTTTGTGCTATGTGCGACACCACAGTGAGCTGGCTTTGCAGGGGTTTTGTTATTCCTAATAAATAAATCACCCCCTGCGTGGTTTTGCTGTCAGTGAAGCAGATCTGCTGAATAGTGCATGTAGAAGAGCGCATGAGCCAGACATGAAGAGAATGGATTTAGGGCTCCAATTGTCATTTGATCTCTGGACATAAAAAAAAAAAACAGACAATGAGTTGAAATGGGGTCGCATGTTGGAGTGTGATCATACTTTAACACTGGTGCAACAGGCTAACAGGAAAGGCTTTTTTATTCTTGTAAAAATAACTCATAACTTATTTGGCATTGCCCCACTGAAACATATTGCTGTAAATAGTCATTGTGTTTATTCAGACTGTTTTAATATGCATGATTCATTTGCATAACATCAAATCGGCACTCAAAGGAGAAACAATTCAGCCTGAGCAAAGCTTCTGTTGAAAGGATAGTTTACTGATACAAGTGTTCATTTATATATTTATTTATTTTTGCAAAGTGCGTGATTAATTTGTCCATCGGTGTAAATTGCTGTGTCTTCAAAGACAGCTCTGGCGTCACAGGTTGACAATGTATTATCATACGGTGCTGTCGTGCAGGTGCTGCGAGGCCTTTTATCTCACTCGTCTTTATCTCAGTGGGTCTACCCACTGAAGCACTGACTCCCTGTGGAAACATTCATAACGACTGATATGTCATCTGATACAGAAACATGCCATTCTCATGAAGTGTAGCTATATTAATCTTACAGGTTATTAGAGGTTAGAGGTTGTTGTTGATAGAGGCTCTACCCACACAGGTTTTCTTCACATATGTTACCTGATAAGCAGTGGCACCCCCACGAGGGGGCCATTGGGGGGGCATGACCCCCTTCAAAAAATTGCTTGCCCACCCACAGGCAATAACAATGTGAACCCATCATTACTGTCTTTAAAGGCCCAGAC